ATACAAATTCTCATAGCTACTTTGTAGTCCCCTGACAAAATTTCTTCAAGCATGAATTTGCTTTTAGCCAAGACCGTAAGTTTTATTATAGAGTGAATTATCTTGTAGATTTAACAGAATCGTTTTTGTTTTATTTAATAACTCATAGTTTATTAATGCTTTTTTTTGTTTGGCTTTTGGAAGATTATCTATATATTTTTTCATGATTCGGTCAAGAGTATTTCTACTTATTAATGTATACTCTATTTTCAAAATTATAAGCAACCACTTAAAGGGCAAGAACAAAACCAAACAAGGTAGTGCCAAAGAACAAACTAACACTTGAGAAAGGTAAATGCAAGATCAAAGTTATAAGTAAAATTAGGCATGCCAAAAAAAAAAAAGCAACTACTTAAAAAGAGGCAAGAACAAGCCCAGTTATAGAGCAGCATCAAAGAAATAATGCCAGTGCTTAATGAAGGTAAAAACAAGATCAGTTATTTAAAAAAAAAAATTGTCGTGGCAAAATGTAGTCAATGCTGAATGTGGAAAAATTATAGGCATCACCAATGTCAAATGCAAAGCCAATGTCGAATGTGAAAGCCAACATCGAATCGCAAAGGCCATGTCAAATGCAAAAGCCAATGTTCATAAAGAAATATTCAAACCAAGTTCCAAGAAAGAGAAGACAGAAGGCAAAGGGCTTTTTTTATACCCTTGCTCATAATTACATTATTACATAATGACGTTATTACATTTTCGTTGAAAGAAACTTTTTTTTTGATTTTGATGATCTTGCGTTAGATTACAACCAACGCACGTCAGATGACCAATCAACAGGTGACGTGCGTCACCTGGAAATTGGCATCTGACGTGCGTCAGTTTAGATCCGACGCGAGAATCGATCTGAGGCACAACATATACAAAAAATATGTCCGTTTGGCTAAAAGTACACACGCGTGTATATTGTATATATTAATACTTTAGTGTAACAGAAGCATGTTTATTATGCATATTGGTATATATTAAGAAAAATTTTTATGTTGAAAGTTTATTTTTGGTTTTTTTTTTTTGTCATGTTCCCTTCCGCACCATCGAAGAAACACACTTCGTATTTCACACTTGTGTTTCGGTAGATAGGTAAAACCGAAAAACACTTTTAGTGTTGATTAGGTGTTGAGAAACTGAAAGAAATGTTTTATGTTTTTTTAGGTGGCGCTGAAAAATACGTGTAACGTGTATCTAGTAAGAAGAAACTGAAAAACATGTAAAAACATGTTCGCAGGTAGACTCCCTGACGGATCCGAAAAAATATGCAAACGCATGTTTCGTAGGTAAGAAAGAGCAAATTCCAGCTGAAAAAAACATTTTTGTAGACAGAGATAGTAGCTATGAGAATTTGTATTGTACTACTTTTAATAAATACACATAACGCTTCGTCTATAAGGGTTAATATTTAGAAAAACTCGAATCATTTCGAAAAAGGACGAGACGAAGATTATTAAAAGACGGAATTGTTTCTTTTAGGAAAAAGAAAATGTATTGTATGTATCATTATTTTTATTAATTGTTTTTTTGATAATAAAGACCATGTGATGATGCTTTATTTGAGTTAAAAATAGAAAATAATTCTTAGGTAAATATAATTGCTTCTAATTGAGATGTCTTTATAGTCATCATGACAAAACATAAGTAGTCATTATGATAAAACACGAACTGAATAAGCACTAATTACTCAATTTCTTAACGGCATTGAATATAATTTATATTTTTATTAAGTATCAATAATCATGTTCATGTTTAAGCTAATGATGCAGTCGTTATTTTTTTTTCTTTTCAGTTAGATTATTAATAAATTACATATTACAGAATCATTTTTGATTACATATTTATGTATTTATTCATTTGAATGCGATCATAACCGCCTAAATTAGATTTAATACCTGGATCCAGATCTAATTATAGCAATGTAATTTTCAGAGAGTTTGACAAATCATAAGACGTAACCAAAGGGATTTCAGGAAACGAACAAATTTTCAAGCGTCCCAGAATTTATAAACAGTTGTAAACCCGTATCTTATTATTATTAGAACCCGGATCCAGTTTTAACTCTAGTTTAAATTAATATCTTTATGTTATTAAAGAATCAGAGATCTAAATATATATATATAACAGTCAACTCTCTTTATAATGAACCTCTCTATACCGAATTCTGGATATAATGAATTAAAGGTTTTTGAATTTCGTATTAGTTCGGTATAAAAAGAGTTAAGGCTTCTTAAGAAAACATAATAATTTTATATAGCGAACTTATTTTTATATCTAGAACCAACAGTTCGTTATAGAAAGAGTTGACTGTATTATGTTAAAAATAAAGAAGAAGAATTTCAATATATACAGTATAAGAAATTTCAAAAATTAGAATAGAGAAAAATTGTTCAAAAGCTTTATTATATATTACTGAATCAATTTTTTAAAAAATGTCAAACTATTCAGTTAAAAAATGATGCATTATTATTATTCTATTGATTACATCATAACTAAATTGACTGGTATCCTTATTAGAAACGTCCAAACCAAAAAGGACGACTCCTGCTAGCATTATGTGACTTATTAACTAAGCGCCTGAATTTAGGTGTCCTTTTTGAATGATGCTCTTGTCGATCTGATATCATCATCTGAAGTTATGAGTTTGGGACAAATAATAAAATTGATGACAATGATAGAACTTCCTGCACGTTCGATAATCCCTAATATGGGCGAATCATATTCGTCCACGAGAATAACTACTTTCCATATTCGTTTTCATCATTATTTGCTAATGACGAAATTAATTCATCAGTTGTAGTCTTTACTGTATTGTTTTTTTAGAGTGAATTGGATTTTCACCAATTAGTTTTAGCACACCTCATTCTTTGAAATATTTAAAGACTGATTTTGATAGTTCGAAAGTGCCATGATACATTGGCCTCTCCTATATACAAATCATTCGCAGAAACTTCGGTTTGAAGTAAAATTCGCGCGGAATACCATCAATTATGATGTTTTCTTCATCTTTCTCCACAATGAAAAGATTTTTTTCTTTCGTTAGACGTTTTATTTAACTACCTTCCATCTCTTCTTCAATAGATGAGCTTTCTTGCAATAAATGTAATATTGGACTATCTAGATAGGGAGTAGTAAATCCATGTAGTTGGTGATACTGCTTTTTTCTTTTTATGGCATCTTGTCTGGTACGAGCAAAGTCGGTCAGTCTTGATGATGCTTCATTAAGTTCCGCTATCATATTTTTCAAGACATCAAGAGATCTCTTATTCTATTTATAAAGTAACAGGAGGTATAATCGCGCACTTAAGAATTGCTAATAGTAAAATTCTTCTAAAAAAAGTTGAATGTTTATAAAATTTATAGAGCTTATACCTCTACTCATGAACTTTAATTAAATAACAACATTTATAATAAAATGCAAGCTATCTTGTTATTCGTTTAAAACTATTGAAAAAAGTGAGATTTAAATTTAGAAGGTAATTTGGCGCATCGCTTTACTAGAGTATTACAATACATATGTACACACGTACGTACGTACGTACGTACATCAATTTTCTATAGCAGATAGAAAATAAACGGTTTACATAAAACAAGCGAGATTTTTTGCTAAACAAGTCAAATTTCACCCACTAAGTAAGGTTATTGGGAATAACGTTTTATAGATACCTTCAAATTTTGTTGCAATTTGGTTAATTTTTCATCAATCGATTTTCACGTTATATATTTATAAATTTTCTGCCCAAGACGTATAATGAGAAAGTCAACTAATAAAAAATTAATCAAATTGCATCAAATTTTAAAGGTATCTAAAAAACAGCATTTCCAATAACTTTACTTAGTGGATGAAGTTCGATTAACTTGCTAGAAATCATTTATTTTTAGTGCGCCAAATTACCCTCCTGCGCCATTATACCTCCCATTACTTTATGTCCTTTATTCTACATATATATAAAAATATTTATATAAGGATAGTTGAAGTGTAAGTTCAACATCTTACCATTAGCAATTATTTATAAGCCTATTGCATGGGAACGAGAACTTAAATAGGTTTAGACTTCAATAGTGATTGGACCCGGGTGGGGTCACCCGTGGGTGAATGGGTGACTCGGGTTGAGTTTTTGCAACCCGGATGGAAGCGAGTGGGTCAACCCGTGGGTTATCCAGGAGTCATCACGAGTTAATCTATGTAAGTATTTGATCGGTCAAAAATAAATGTTATTGCAGCTATTATCATGAATTCTGGGACACCTTATAAAATTAACCGAATGATTCTTTAACTGATTCGGTTAAGTTTTTGATTTCAGTACGATCGATATATAAGATATATATGTAGTACGTCGAATGGGCAATATAATATTTATGTAAACATTGTAATAATTAGTATAGCTAGAAATTGTGACTAGAATATATATACATAAATAGCTTTGAAGTGCATTGCGAATTCCAATGGCTTTAGTTATAAATTAAATATGCGCTAAATGGATTCAGTATTAACTTTAAGTTAGTTCGAAATTTTTGACAATTTGAGTAAAGTTAAAATTTCGTTTCAACTTGAGTGTATTTAAAGTCAACCTACGTTGATTCTAAATCTAGCAAGATTCCATTCCGATATACAAAATATATATATTTTATATTACATATTCTGCTGATAAATTTTATTATTTTAATGTCGATACATTCAGAATATATTGCCAAACACCTTTGGTGTGTTTAGAAATTTATGAAAAAGACTGTTCTTAACTAAGAGATCTTGACAAGAAACGGCACCGGATGTTAACCGGGTCACTCGATGGTGGACCCATCCGGGTTCTACCCGAGTTGCATTTTTTTAGATGGGTCCAATCACTAATGCTAACTTAAAGAAAGCTATAGTTTTCGCAGAAATTCGAAAAATAGAGGTAAGGATATATATTTTTTTTTAGCATTTACATGTATATTTAAGCGACTTAAATATACATGTAAATGCTAAAAAAAAAAATCCTTACCTCTATTTCTCGAATTTTTGCGAAAACTATAGCTTTCTTTAAGTTAGTATATCCATTTTATAATAAAAATTATAATTATCGATACCACCAGTCTTTATGCCTTCCTATAAAGATTTATGATTACAGCTATTTTAGCAAATGTAGGCCATCAAAAAAATCTATTTTTTTTTATTCTAAATAATTCATGAAAAAGATTTCAGTAGAATCGTAATCCAGCGGGTAGCCTCAATCTCAGTTGGAACAGGGTTCCTGCTACAACTGCCATGAACGTCGCAAAAGAAACCTCTAACCATAAAAAAAAAACAAAAAAAAACAGGCCTTAAATTGCATATACGTTCTTTTAGCTTCCCTTTTTTTTCTTTTTTTGATCCTTCTTTCATAACCCATTCTAACTGCCGCATGATTGCTGTCGTGACTGTTGTCTTGTCAACAGGATTTTTGGACACACACCATTCCTTATGATATTCTAGAGCATCCCAACTTTCACATGGTGTGGTTATAAAGTAAGAAAACCCCAGCTTGTCGGCTATGTTAGTTTTCTTTTTTTTTGGCATGAAACTGTAGTGATCCAATAGTAACGGATTGTATCCCTAATAAAGAATGAAGCCTTATATTACCTGGAAAAAAGAAATAAAATGGATCTGATCAATTCACAGACAATCACTTCGTAGACACCACATTTCACCGACAATTACTTACCGACAAGTTCATTTCACCGAAGCTTATTTTATAGGCAAAGTAATTCTGGTCAATACCATTAGGGTCAGATTAGAATTAGAGTTAAAGTTATGGATCCACGCGGGTCCCTAAATAACGCGTGTTGGCAAATGGTAATGTGTGAACTAGATTGCATAAACTTTTCCTATATAGATTAAATTTTCGTTGCACGAAAAAAACGCGAAAAATACAAAGAAACGGGTGTCTAACTTTAATGATTTTTAATAAAAAAACAATATAATATATATTGTATTTAGTATTTATATAAGACCTACAAGATTAATTTTTTGGTAGTGCAATTAGTACATGCAGTACATATTTTGCATGTAATTTTTTAATACAGATGCGAAATAATGCCGTTTAACAGTTAATATATTATAGTACGTACGTAAGTGCTTACATATTATGCGCCATATCTGATATGTACTCGTAATATACGTCGCATGCTACGTATAAAGAATACATAACATAAGATTATTTCATATATATATTATATATTATAAGCAGTCCAATCCAAATCATTGGATCTTGGACGTCCAATGTCCAATCAAAGCCATTGGGACCATTGGACATTGGACATCCAAAGTCCAAAAATCACGATTGGACGTTGGATTGGACGTCCAATCCAAGGTATCCAAATGTCCAACGCGCATCACCGATTATAAGCTAACATCAAATTTTTAAAAAAGTCAAATTACTGAAACTAACATTATCTTTTCACATTTCATTTATTTCAATGGGAATATCATCCGAACTTCACGATTCATCATAAATAAAATAAACTACTGTATCTGAAAATTCTATTGATCAAATTTAATGAAAAAGAATCCGCCACGCATATTCTTGTCATATTTGATTATATAACAGTATTGTGCAGGGATTTACAAAAACAATTTCTTTTTAATACTTAAAAGAATGCACTGCAGTACTGGTGCATATATTTACAGTCAGATCTCTCTAAATGCATAGCCGTGGGGCCAAAGAATCTTGCATTTAGAGAGGTATTGCATTTAGGGAGGTAAAAATCTATAAATGTCATATGAGTTGGGCCAAACAAGAGCATGCATTTAGTAATACTATGCATTTAGAGAATACGCATTTAGAGAATATGCATTTAGGGAATATGCATTTAGGAAATATGCATTTAGGGTACTAATTTCTCTCCATGTTTCTATTGACTATCGGTAAACCACGTTTTTGATTGGACAAAATCGATAATCTCTAAAATCGTGGATCAGTGTTTTTTTTATCGATGTCTTTCTTCATCGTTTTATGAAGCTTTTTACAGTGTCTTTTTTGTCATTTTACGGATTTTTTTATTTTGATTTCTTTTGACGTTTTATAGTATATTTATAATGCTTTTTGCAGTATTTTTTATAAGCTAACATGCGTACGTATAATATAAAAATACTATTTTGCAGTCATAAATATAATATAGAGTTGGTTAAAAATATTGCCTAGTCTAGAATTTTTAAAGAATCAAATACAAATAAATATACAATAAATCAATTACTAGAATGTTTTAATGATACAAAAGAGAAAAAAAAAATAAAAAAAAAGACACTAATTCAAGAAGTTCAAGAAAGCAATAGCACTGAAGAGGTTTGAAATAAAATAGGCGAGGATGGAAAACTTTAGTAGTATTGAAAACACAGAACTTAAAAAAATGCAGTAAAAGTTTTTTATACAACTTTTTTTTTAATCATGATGTTGTGCATGTATTGTTTTTTGCACAAAAATTAACAATTACTGTGCAATTGCACAAAAAAATAAAATAACATTCCTGTATAAAAAATTTACTTGCACAAAATGTTTGTGCCGAATTTTCAACACTGATCATAATGATTGTTTTAAATTCATGTGATTGATCAATTACGAGATGTTCCAGTCTTTAATATTTAATTTTTTTTAAAAAAAAAATTTCTAGTAAAGATTTTTTTAACTAGACCAAGTTTAATAAAATTTTCTTTATTTTAATTCCATAAAAGTATAGAATCAAAATAAAATTTTTACCATATTTGATCAAATAGTTATGTACGTATAATTATTTAAAACGCATCAATTTTTGTTAAGATTGGATGTTTTCTTAGGAGTTTGTATTACCGCAGGACCCTATTGTGCACCATGCTTAAATCAAGGACATGAAGGACATGATTTTCATGAAAGCATGTGAAAATCATAAAACGTAAAAAAATACGATTTATCAAGAATTCATGGGATGTTGAAGATGATAAATGACAAATAAGCTTGTAAGTGATCATAAAGATTTCTGGAAAAGTTGATAAGCTAAACGAAAATGATATGAATTAGTATCTAAAGTTGTAAATTTTGCGAGAAAAGACGATAGATAATTTTATATCTATAACTAAAGCTTGTATTCGTATTCGTTATTCGAAATGATATTTGTATTCGGCGAATATTCGGATAAATATTTATCTGATGAATAACTCGAATAACATATCTTATTCGAATAAGCAAATTTTATTCGAATAATTTTCATTATTCGTCATGTGAGACTTCAGTCATTGGCTGATTTACACGTAGTAACTATATATTATATATATGATTATATGTTATTCGAATAAATAGAATTCTGTTAGTCATCCGGCGAATATTCGAATAGATATTTGCCGATCTAAATTATTCGAATATTATCCGAATAAGGAGTCCGTAAGCTCTATCTATAATAAGATAGACAAATGATTGTTTCGCTTATTTACTGATGCAACTATTAACGAGTTAGAAAAAAAGGAAAATTGAGATCATAGAAAAATCAAAGTAAAAATAATGATTAGATTGTTATAACAGAATACTAAGCTCTTCGCGGTAAATTTATTTGCAGTTTATTAATCGTATTCATATAAATCTTTGTATTTACTGTAGACCCTTGACCTTCTTCATTTCACTTCTCCCTCTACGCAACAAAACTCTGATTATAAGTAAGACAGAGAAGTATCATTACCAAAGTTCTACATGAGTGCTGCCAAGGGAAAACCTGATTTTCTGAAATTTCATTTTCGGAAACGGGTTGATCAAATCCCTGATGAATTATTAATAAATCATGTGTCTGATAAGCCTGCTCTTTAAGAAATGGTCTACTGGCACAGCATTCACATGATTTATCTTTCTTATCGGCACAGCAATTGACATTTCATTTTTCTGATCTACTCAATTTCTTGAAGCACAATAACATGATGGCGATCATGTTAACTTTTGCTGTGCCGATAAGGGAGATAATGCTGGGTCGGTATTTAAAACGGAGTTCAGAAAACCCACAATTCCAGGTTTTCCTTGGCAGCATTCATATCATATAGTGATGTAAAACACTCAATGAATCAGACTAACCTTAATACGTCTCATTCGAGAAGTCTAATCACTCTCATTTTTGCCCATCGATATTCTATAAAGGTAATAATTTTAGAGGTTTGATAAGATGGATTTCCCTGTCACGTACGTACGTATATACGTATTATACGTATCACAGGTCAAATTTTAAAATTTCTTTAACACTTCTGAGAGAGATCAGCAGAATATCAGGCGTCGACATGTCTGATAGATAACTAGGGTTCTTGGCACGCCATTTGACATGCCAAGTTCTAAATTTATACCACATGCATGCCACGGCATGCCATAATCATATGGTTTATTTGTATTAATTTAATTGAATAAAAAAAAATTTTTCTAAAGTTTAAAGAATATAGATCGTGTCTTTATATATTATTGTTACTGTAATAGCATGCCAAGAACCTCAAGCTGAGAATCCTATAATTAACCGATTTTGGCGCGTATTTTCACCTATCAGAAGGATATCGGTTCCGATAGATAACAGATATCTAATACTTTTTGATTGAAGCATCGGATATCTGATATGTTTATCGAAACTGAGGGTTAGTTATTAGACATATCGATATTAGATATTCTGTTGATCTCTCTCAGAAATATAGAAATTTTTAAAATTCGGCGGCGTGTATATATGTATAGCTTTTATTATACGATAATATTACAAACCTCTCTAAATTTTAATTATCATAAACATGAAAGCTATTATTCAGCAATTATTTTCTTTCCTCAGTTCAAAAATTACCATGGACAAAAAGATGGAATTTGAGTCGTATTTGAAATCTGCTAAAGATGGTAATTCTTATGGACAATACAATCTTGGATATTACTATGAAAATGGTATAGGCACGGTTAAGAATGAAAAAAAAGCATTTGAATGGTATTTAAAATCTGCTGTAGGCGGTAATTTAAATGGGCAAAGTAATCTTGGATGTTGCTATCAGAAGGGTATAGGCACAGCAAAGGATGAAAAAAAAGCTTTTGAGTGGTATTTGAAATCTGCTAAAGGTGGCAATTCGAATGGGCAACTTAATGTTGGAATATGTTATATAGGTGGTATAGGTACAGAAAATGATTTAAAAAAAGCATTTGAATGGTTTTTGAAATCTGCTGAAGCAGGTAATTCGAATGGACAAAATAATCTTGGATGTTGCTATCAAAAAGGCATAGGTACAGCCAAAGATGAAAAAAAGGCATTTGAGTGGTATTTGAAATCTGCTGAAAGTGGCAATTCGAATGGTCAAGATAATCTTGGATTCTGCTATCTAAATGGCATAGGTACACTCAAAGATGAAAAAAAGGTATTTGTGTGGTATTTGAAATCTGCTGAAGGTGGCAATTCAAATGGTCAATTTGGCGTTGGATTCTGTTACGGAAATGGCATAGGCATAGCCAAAAATCAAAATAAGGCTTTTGAATGGTATTTAAAATCTGCTGAAGGTGGTAATCTAAATGGACAATATAATCTTGGATTCTGCTATGAAAATGGCATAGGCAC